CGGACGCACACAGTGACACTTGCATTAAAAAAAGGCATAAGTGGTAACTTGGAGTTTATTGTGTTTGATCACTGAACAATTACCCCAATTGTCCATGTCCTTTTGCCCGTCACTCATACGGCACGGTTGAGAAACCCTGTGCTGCGCATCGCAGGTTAATCTTTGCAAATCCGTAGGTTCTGGAATTGCTGTAAACGGATATAAAGAGGTTAACGGTTTGAACAGAATTATAAGAGTGTGCTTTCTTCATTCATCCCTTGGATCACCTTTTGTATAGTGAGCACCCGTCCACTTTGACGTGAGTTAGCACGAAAGTATACATTTTTGCAGGGAGAGTTGCTGCTGAAAAGTGAGCCTGAGTCTTGCAAATGCTTCTGGAATGAATTTGCAGGTTGACAGACATGTTACCAAGAGTGTAGAAACCAATTGGAGGTGTCACAGTCAAAACCTTGCATGACGGTATGACATGTTGCACATTGCCAACACCCTGCAAAGCCAGAAGAGTAGAAGAACGATGAGTTTTTTTTGCACAGATTCTGCACAGGTGTTTATTCAGGTGTGGCTGAATGATACCGTTCAAAAAGTAGTAAGTAGGTAAGATCAGATAAGTCTTGGCACACGTCGATGCCAGAGGACCATTCCCTGTCACCTACTGCAAAGAGCAGGCAAGATCCTTGAGACATTGCATTTGTATGTGTTTGTCATGATACGAGATGCAATGAACGATGTCGCGTACTTGATGCAGGCTGAAGGTTGAGCTTTTCGATGGAAATCAAGATTGGATCTCCAAGGCAACGTTGCTGTTTATGAAAGTCTTGAGCGGTACAGATCGCTAGTACTGTACTATTAAGACTATTGTGTTTTTTGTCAAGTGATGTTATCATGTGTCGTTGGAACCTATTGATTGAGTATATACAAATTATTTAATTCAACTTAATGACTTAATTCAAGAGCCTAGTATTGACGTAATGGTGCCGATTGTGGCTGGAGGATGAGAAAGCTCCCAGAAGGACTCCGAAGTTGCAACGCCCAGATCGAGTAGTGGATGGGGACATTGCGAAGAATCACGCCACCTTTTTGGCCACAGACTATATATATAGACACAGAATCCTCCAGCACGTTTTCACTACAGAATGGGATGGGTTGACGACTGGAATAAGGCATTTGTTTATATGACAAGTTTTCCTGCATTTTGGGGTTGGGCAATTTGTAGAGGGAAAATCTGAGTGCACCCACAGCATGCTGATTTGCAGACTTGTGACTCTGTAGATCCTGCAGTCATGTTTTTATTTTGCCAGTTTGCACTCTACCTGACTTGCAAAAGCTTGCATCTCTACAGAATGTATCATGGACTGTTTCAGGTTCTTCCTAATCTCTCTTTTTTCTCTATCCATCCCCTGTTACCACCTCCCAATTTGTAGAGTGTGTCCCAAGTGCCCTTGTGCCGAATATCTTGTAGAGACTTGTTTTTTACACCCTTGTGATTCTGTAGGCATTTGGAAGTCAACTTTTGTGTTGTAACTACAAAATGCTTAGCACAACCTATCCTGGGTAACTCACAGGGGGATGACATAGATGTAAATAGAGCGATCATGAAGTCAATGTTAAACCATTGTTCCGGCGAGATTTTGCAAGACGTTTGCTTGTGGTTGTCATTGGAAAGGGCTTGCAGGACTGCAACACATACACATTGATCAAAGGAACCAAGCGCAGCACAGATGAGCAATAGGAACCCAGATTTGGCACATCAGTACTAGATAGTCCTAGGACTCGGACTCTTGATTTCAAGTACCAACATTTTTTGTGATGGTCCATGGCATCATATCGCCTATCATGGTCCATGGCATCATATCGCCTATCATGTTCTGCGTAGGGCCACCTTAGAGCTTCCCTCCTGCGCAGGTTTCGGGCCATGTTTCTCAGCTGTGTATTGGGACCAGAGAACAAAGTCAACACGAATCAAACCCAATCGAGCAGGAGCCGTCTGGGAGATTCACAATCACTGCCGACCCTATGCATGGTCAGCCTGGCTGTTGCTGCCACCATGGCGCATAATCCAGCTGAAACTGCTTTTGCTGTAAATAGAAAATCATCACCCAGTGGCCCACTAGCACTGCTTTGGCAGGTTCTTGCCGGTACTCGGCGCAGAGCGTGCAATCTTAAGAAGGTGTTCAGCGGTCTAGATGTTTCGCTTGGCATAGTCAAATCCTTGCCGTAGGGTTCGTGGTTGAGTTTGACTGGAGTCGATTCCAATGTCAAGCTGCCAGGGCCGTGAGCCAGGAGGCGTGGACCTTTGTAGCAAACTGTTCTCGCATAGTCCTGCTGATAAGGATTTCATGGATATATTCACACTCGCAGTTAGCTTGCGGTTGCAAGTTTTATGTTCACAAAAGTAACCAAGGACATTTGGGCTCAAGAGAGAAGCAGTGACGATTCACTGCGGAAGATTTGTGAACTGCGATTACATCAAACGACTTCCCTTTGTCAGGACGCCATGGCTTTGTCGATGGATTCCAGCTTCGCAGTTGTGGATGTCCAAGGGGACACCGTTTTGGAGGGCGAGGCCCTCGACGTGGATTCTGTGACCAGCCCGGAAGTCCAGAATGTGGGCAGCAGCCTCCTGCGCAAGGTCAACTTGATCGACTTCAAGCAGGCCATGCGAACTCGCTGGCTGGAGGGCCAGGAGAAAGGCACCGCCCTGGATGCCCTCAACAAGGCTCAGGCCACGGTGGAAGAGGCCAGGGCGGCCAACCGCAAGATCCAGGCTGAGGGCTCCGCCTTCATGACCAAGTGGGCCCTGCAGCCCATGGACACGTCCGCTTGGCCTGATGACTTGGCACGAGTGGGTGCTGTTGGTGGCGTGTGGCGCAGGGTCACGGTGTTTGACCCTCCGCTGCCCGACTGGGTCCAACACGGCAAGCCCACAGCCAAGCAACTTAAGATCTTTACCGTGCCCTCGAACTAAGGACTCACCCTTGCGATGGCCCCAGCGACATGGTGGAGCCGATGACCGACCTACACCGCCGCGGAGGTGTGAGCAATGTCGCTCCGGTCGCCGCCCTCTTCTTGAAGCCCTCATCAACACCTGGTGGGCGGAAGATGTGCTGCTGGGCCAGAAGTGGCGCCGTGAGAGCTGCGCCTGGGACCTGGTCTCTCTGGTGGGCATCTATGGCCACCGCTTCTCCTTCAAGTACATTACAGCTTGTGGTGCTCCCAAGCACCGCGGCAGGGATGGCGCCGGCTCGGTCACCGCCGGGACCGCCAGAAAGCCCCAGAGCATGGGACTGGATTGGCCGGCCTCCTGGTGCTGCTGCTGCTGCTTCTGCATCGTGAGGGCTGCAGCATAGCTCCTAGCCATATCCCCCATGAGTGCAACGCGTGGGCGCATCCTGATTTTCGTGTTTTTTCGTCATTTTTTCGTCATCTCCAATTGGAGATGTTTGAGAAATTGTTTCAATTCTCCATCACACCCCGTTTGCTGGCGACGGATGCCTTCACCGTGTCACCGACTGACCCCACCCAAGATCCCATGACCGGGTGTGGCTGGCCGGGTGAGATTATCTGCCTGCCACACCCACTGTCATGGCTTTCTAGAACTCGAAAGAGAAAAGGTTCTGCAGATCCTTTGAGGAGCTTGGAAGGGAGTTTTGCTTTGGAGTACATATTATGATTGAAGCTGGTGTCTTTACAGATCTGGATCTTCAACCTGCCTAGAGTTTTGCTGAACGCATTTGTTGGATGAAAATGACGTCGCAGTCAAAGAACTTGCCGCTTCAAGGGCTGCAAACAAGTGTTCAAAGTCCATGGGTTGGGGAACATGCTGGCTTGGATGCCACATGATGCCACAAAACGCCGTGTGTTCTTGGTTTCCGACCTCGCCGTCGTAAACGTCCCTGGTTTCCACGTTGTCAACTATAGATGTTGTCCTTGGGAAAGATGTGTTTAAAAAATGTTTCTGCCTGAAAAACAATTATTTGTCCCAGTTGAAGGTCCAGGGATTTTCTATGGTTCTGCTGTTTTCACTCCTTCGACTAGTCTGATGAGGCGCAGATGTGGCTGGTGGCTCGCGTGCAAAGGCACCTCCAACCTTCAAATCCAAGCATAGGATCATAGATGTGTTGATTGCGTTTACAAATTGTCACAAGGAAACATGTACCTTCGATTTGTACACAACGGCCTGGATACGTACATAGTTTGATCAAGGTGGTGACCGTCTAAGAGAAAAATGCAATAAACTTGGTCAAATGCCTGGGTTTCAAGATGACTCTGACTAAAGATATTGTGTCAAAAAAATAACGATTTGTTCATGCATGTATATATTTCCTGGACGCTGCGCTGAAAGCCAGAGAAGATTGACGCAAATCATGATGGTCATTGTGGGTTGATGTTGGACTCTTTTGCAACAGATCAAAACTCAAAGAGATAATACTGTTTGTGTGGAACCTTTGAGGCCACGCAATTGGAGCTGAAGCTAGAGGGTGTGGGAGCGCTGTGATCCCAAGAGTCGCCGTTTCACTTATCGTTGAAACGTTTGTGGTCGAAGGGTAGTAGCACCTTCTTGTTACCAGTAGCGATGCCAGGAGCTACTAGAAGCGTCCTTGCTCCTAGTAGCGATGCCCTTTGCTCCTAGTAGTTTCTTGTTACTAATCAAGTTTGAACTGTGGTATCGTGCAGCGCACGCTTACTACGTTTGCAGACATTTACATGTCAGTCAGTGTGATCATTTTTCCCAGCAGGACGTGGGAAGGCGGTGAATCTGGATTCATCCGAATCGCTCTCTGACATGGTAGTTTGAGTACATTGGCTTTGTGCGAATTGCACGCAAGCCGTTTCGCCTTCAGGATCTGTGTGATGGATCCAGTGTACCATACAGGATGATTTAATGATTCTGGAGAGGATGCCTGTCAGCCTTGGATTGCTATTAATTAATTTAATTTACTTTTAATTATTGTTTCTACTAGCAAACATTGTTACTACTAGTAAGGCACTTGTTACTAGTAGCGATGCACTTGTTCCTAGTAGTAACAAGTTTGTTGAATCAAAGTTTCTGGTTTGGCAATTTACACATCAAGCATTGTTTCCACGAGCCCAGAATCGCACCGGACATTTGAAAGAGCGAAACCGGAGAAAGAACGACGACAAGTCTTGTTTTCGAAAGAACGACACCCCCCTGAAACTGTTTGATTCACACGTCCGTTTAAGTTACTTCTTGGGATTTCTTGGGAACTTGTGTTTAAACCAGAAGGATGCAGAGTTTTACTTAGGGCGGAGGCTGCAAAGTCGCAAGTTGCGGCATGGTGTAAGAACATTTGGACCGCAACATGCTGGGCTCCCATCAATTTAATTTAGGCAAGCAGAAGGTCAGCCTGTGCATGCGATTGGAGAGTGAGTGGATTGAGCAGATGTGGGCAACCAGTTGTAGCTAGCAGCTAGCGGCTAGCTTCAATGTGAACCATACGGCTCACGGCCCACCAGGCTCACAGCCTTGAGATGGGTTGTGCCCTCAGCCTCCATTGAGGCACAAGCAACAAATCCTTGCCTAGCGTATTACCACTTTTGTTGGCAACATCAACATGCTTTGTACTGTACTACTCATACTAGTGTCCTAGTGCTGCAAAACAACTCAGCACAGGTGACAGGTGATACCTAGAGCATGCCTACCATGTGTATCGTACCACAAAACTACCGTGAACGATCAAAGCATTCTGCCGACTCAGGAGTTCTATTGTCGGTCTGCGTACCTGATGCAAAGCGAAGTGAGGACTGCTTTGGGACACAGGACACAGGCAGCACAGGAACAGACTGTTGTAGGTTTGTCACCCAGATTCTTGATGGTTTTTCAATATAGTTGAAAGTTGAAAGTCTTGCGCAGATGAAACCTCAACACAAGCCGAAACCTCAACACGACACACACTTGGTGCAGCGCACAGGAGCCCTTTGGTGCCTCTGCAATGGTATATCGCAACGACACAGGTCCAAGAACTTCAGAAACTGTTTCCGGCAAGTCCTCCAAATAGCATCAAAAGGCAAGCAAGCTTTCAGAGTATTTACATGCGCACGAGTCACTATCTTCCGAAGAAGTTGCCTGCCAAGATATGTCTGCTCCTTCGCGCTTTGCTGCGAAGCATACCGGTTTGGGCCTTGGAAACTGCATACTCTCACCATGTCTACCGTTCTTTGAAAGCTGGAATGCATCTTCGGCCCTTCACCTACAGAGCAGTAGCTTCGGAGGGAGGCAACTTGATACACCGTATGCATGTACAAAAAAAAACTGTGAATAGAGATGAGGTCCCAGTACAATTGCAACATGGACACTTGCCATAAACATTTGGCTCAAGTTGGCTCAAGTGCCCAACCAGGCGAAAAGGAGCTATTGCGCGCGAGCTTCATGTCGAACTAAGGGCTTGAACGGGGCCAGGGCACGCTTTCCATCCGTTCGCAGGTTATCAGCCGTATCCAGACTCCTTTGAGCTGGGTACGAGCTACGGCCTTACACAACACCATCTAAACGCACACGCATCGGATAGATCAGTTACCCTCAGTCACTGAAGATGGACCAATCCGACGCCAGCACTGCATCCTTTGGAGCAGCCGCTGCGGCAGCAGATCGGGTGAGTGCATCCCACAACTCTAGTCCAGGTACGATCGAAGCGGAGACTCTGACAGTGGTGAGAGAAGTTGCGACAGGTAGAGCACGAAGTCGTTCCCCGTCAGCGCACTCGACACCACCGGGGGGGACACCGAGATCGGGCCGTAGCCCTAGGGAGACAAGGAGGAGAACTGACACCGGAGCTGTGAGAGTGCTAGCATTGGAGGATGGGTCAACTGTACCAGTGCCATCGGACAGCGAAGCTGGAGATGGAGCAAGGGCAAGCACCGACAACCTACAACTAGCACGGGCCGATGGAGACCTCAATGCGAAGTGTGCACAGCTACTTGCCGAAGTGCATATGTTGAACCACCAAAACGCATGGATGGTCGAATGTGAGCAGAGACAGAACCAGATTATACAACACGAGACCGAAGTCCACGAAGTAGTGATGACACACCTCGCAGAATGTTATGTCGAAGGATATGGAAATCAACGAAGAATCTCCCAACTTACAGAATCTAGAGACTGTTTGCTCTCAGCAGCACACGATTTGCAATACCAGATTGACACTGATCGTGTGGCAATGCGGGATCGTCTCACCCAGTTAGGGGAGTACGCTGATCGCAACAGCGCAGAGATGGTTAGTCAAGTTGTGAACATCGGCACGGAAGAGATCCAGGCTATATCGGCGGAAAGAGATCGAGCCGTAACCGAACTCATGACTGCAGTCGCAGATGCTGAGAACATTAGGGATCTGTATAGGCAGGAGATAGTTGGACTACAAAGGCAGAGTGTCAGGAACAAACACGAATATGCCGAGGAAATGAAGATGAAGGAAGCAATGTATACAAGCAAGATCAAATGGTTATCAGAAGAGAATGAGGAGCTCAACAACCGATCTTATAACCAGGACAATTTCATCATGACCATCAGAGAGCAATTGAAGAGGGCGAATGAAGAGGTGGCACAGGCGAGGATTCAAGGATCCGGTCGACCGTCTCAAACATCCAACGCCGAACTCAAGAAAGCCGAGGTCAAGATGAACATGTTGGAGGAGGACATTCTACGTAAAGAGAGGATGTTGAAACGTCTCCAGGAAGAATTAATCGAATCAAGTGCAAGTGAAGCACAACTGAAGGTCGCACTGGAATTGAAACCACAAGACATGGGATCAGGATGCAATGTGGAGAACGAGATGATGACCAAGCTTAGAGCGGAACTTGGACGTACCGAAAAGTCATTAAGGTCCGAGGAGAAAGAGGCGATGGAATATTACGAAGGTATGATGCAGAACCAGCAGGACATGATGGAATTCGAAGCGCATGCAGCACGGCTCAGAGATGAGAGGAATAAGTACCGGAGGAGATACGAAGAGGAGCGCTCGAACGCTGAGAATGCAGCCGCAACCGAGTATGGTGCCGCTTCATCCTCTAGCTCGGGTGGCTCCAAGATATCTCGGAAGGAACACGAAAAGATCAACATCCCTGCATGGCCCAAGATACACGACTTGGAGGTTTGGAAATCCCAAGTTGTAGCGGCAGTCGTGACGGCATCGGGCGACGAAAGACAAGAAGATTGGATCCAGTGGCTCTCGGATGCCTTCAAATCACCATATGACCCATTTCTGCTCGAGACATCGGGCGAAGCAAGATTCGCTAGCATAGATGCTAAGCTAGGCATCACCCTACACGCGATTATCCACGCAGCAGGTGAGAGATCTCATGACGTACAACTGAAGGTGAGGCAGATGATGCAGAGACGTGCGAGAGGCACAACCCCGGGAATGGTTAAGGGACGAGAAATGTTAGCGTTGATCGTCGATAGCTTCCGGAGTGCCGACAACGTCGATGTGATGTATGCATCTAAGCACTTATTCGATCTAAAGTTCCCTGGAGATAATCAACTATCCAGATTCCTTGGACAGTGGGATGAGATCATATCAGGTATGGATGCGGATGACATGCTTCCTGACAAAGCACTCCGCAACCTGCTTTGGGACAAGATTAAAGATTCCAAAGTTATGGCGTTAGACTTGTCCGTGTACGACAACATGTTGGATAAGGATCCGGATAAGACCTATCAGAAGTTACGGGAGATTATGGCGAAGTGGATACGGAAATCAATCGAGACCACAAATAAGAAAGAAAGGGAAAAAGCTTTTGGGAACCTCATGAAGGCTACACCAGCGGAGAAGAAGGACCCTAAAGCGAAGCCCAAGAATACCAAGGCCGATCCACCGAAGGACGCCGCTCCAGTACTTCCTCAGAATAATCCGAAGGATCACCAAAAGAAGGACAAGAAGCAGGATCGTGGAAGGTCAACCACGAAGAGCCCGAAAGGGGACCGTGGCAGGTCAGCGACTCCGGCAGACACGTCCAAGATAGGATGCGCCTTCCACTTCTATGGGAAAAACGGATGCTCTAGGGGAGACAAATGCAAGTTTAGTCATCAAGAGAAGCGCAAGAGTTCTGCTAAGAAACCAGAAAGCCTCAAGGGTGACAGATCAAAGAGTCCTGGTGGCAGGAGCACTAGCCCCAAGCCAATGAAGGATCAGGTCTGTTGGAATTGGCAGAAAGGATCGTGCAAGTTCGGGGACAAATGTCGTCGCCAGCATCACGCTGCTCCTGCTACAAAACAAGAGGCTAAAGGCAAAGCCAAGCCCAAACCGGCTGCGCCAGCCTTCATGCTTTGCGGAGACATCGAGAGTGATGGCGAGGACGCGCAACCCGCACTTCCCAATGTACAACAAGGTAAGCTGGAGCTTCGCTCTAAAGTCAGATTCGATGACCGGGCGGATGTGACCACGTTTACCTGCGATCCTGGTAACGAGCTAAATATCCGTCCCCTCAAGAAGAAGAAGGACGAGGTGCAGAAGGTGGATACCGAGATCATTTCATCGATGAGAACCCTCAGAGTGAACAGCATAGCTGCACGAGTAGCGCATGCCAAAGGCAAGATGATGGAGCTATACTCTGCTGAACACATTGCCAAGGCATGGATACAAATCACTCAAGATGAAGGAATCGAGGTGAACGTCGACCTGTCTGACTTCAACACCAGCGAGGTAGTAAGGAAAGATTCTGTCAACTACACGATACCGGGAGATACGATGTTCATGGCCGTGGAGAGGTATGATGGACCACCGATACGCTTCATCATGGACACGGGATGTGGGCACGACTTGATCTCAAGAGAGAAAGTCAACGCCATGGGCCTTACCACCAAGGAAGGACCCAAATCCGTGAGTTTCATGACAGCGAATGGAGTAACTAGTACGTCGGAGATGGTGGACATCAATGTGGACGAACTACCCATGATGTCCGAGGCACACGTGTTGGAGAGCACACCATCAGTTTTCTCCATTGGGAAACGGTGCATGGAACAAGGGTATTCATTCATATGGCCTGCAAATCAGATGCCATACCTCATCGACCAGAACGCGAACAAGATCCCGCTATCGGTGCATGACAACATACCCTACATCAAAGTGAATGATGATTACGGGAGATGTTTACCAAGATCAGACGACCTGGCCACGATACTTCATCGCATATTGTCAGGTGTGGAGTGTGAAGACGAGGCCACAGCAGGTCAGGAGACACAACAAGAGGAACCTCCGCCTAAGAAACCTCGAAGACGGAGGAGAAAGAAGAGAGATAACCAGAAAGATCGGGGTGATGAATCCGATATCAATCCAGCCGTTGTAGGCGACGAAGGAGAACCAGAGGAGCACGGTGATGACGGATATTCTCTTGAAGAGGGACATGACGGGGAAGACCCGGGAATCAATCGTGACCTCGATGGCCAACCTGAAGAAGCCGAAGACGACGAACATGGAGGTGATGCGGATTCTGAACGAGAGGAGAGTGACATTGGTGAAGACGAAGAGGGGTTATTGGAAGTCGATGTGGTTGACGGGGAAGCCAGAATGTCAAAACCAGGAGTGCTGAAGAATGAGGCAAGATCCATATTACACCTGATGACGCACCGATATAAGAACCCATACTGCAAGTCATGCGTGAGAGCAAAGATGAAGCACTACAAGACTAGCAAGGGAGCTTTCAAACGGAAATTGAAGGCATTTGGTGACCTTATCACCTTTGACCCCATGAACACCCAGAAGATGGCGAGAGATGGGATCATGCCGGATAAAGATGTATTGGTGATCCGAGATCGGTTTACTGGTGTGATATGGGGCTATCCATTGAAAGCAAGCAATAGTGACGAAGTAGTGCAGGCGATGAAGCACTATATCGGTAAGAGAAAGGTCACCAACGCTTACTCTGATGATGCGCCGCAATTTGAAGTAGCACTCAAGGAACTCCGGATTCCACTAGACCAGTCGCTTCCAGGACATCCCCAGAACAATTCACTCGCTGAAAGAAACAATCAGTTTATGATGCTTACCACATCGACATGTCTACTAGAAGCCGGACTACCACCATGTTTTTGGCCATTTGCAGTGGAATGCGTAAGCCATTTGTTGAACATCGAGAAGCTGAGCGATGGCAGCAGTGCATGGTTGAAGCTGCACAAGAGC